CCGAACGGACTCCCTGCCAACTGCCCAACTTTCAAAGCACATAACTCGCTCATACGAACTCAGAATCGAGCAAACTCGGTGGCGTTGGAAAGATCGTTCCAAGGGACTTCCAAACATAATTGGAACTACTCCTGGATCATCCTGAGCTAGGAGTTATGACTGCTCAAAGTTGACCAAAAACTCACTGATTTCCACACTTGGCCGAATTTCCAGATTCTAAATTTTTTTCCAAAAATGACTACTTCCAATTTCAAGCTTCTTCATATTCATTTTAAATTGTCGGATGTTTCAGGCCATCAGTTTGTGGATGACAAGAAGTTGAGAACAACAACTTAGTACCAAGTCTATCCCACAATTCCTTCCAAAAGTGACTAAGGAATTTTGGATCCCTATCACTTACAATGGTTTGAGGAATTCCATGCAATTTAGCAATATGCTCAACAAACAAAGATGCTACATTGGAAGCAGCATCACATTTATGACATGGAATGAAATGAGACATCTTTGAAAATCGATCAACAACAACAAAGATGCTATCTCTACCTCTTTTGGTCCTTGACAAACCCAAAACGAAGTCCATTGAAATATCAAGCCAAGGTCTTTGAGGGGTGAGGAGTGGAGTGTATAAACCATGGGGAAAGAGGCGTGACTTAGCACGTCTACATTCAACACATTGACCACAAATTCGAACAACATCTTTATGCATTTTAGGCCAATAGAATTGTTCCTCAAGAATTCCCCTAGTTTTCTCAATACCAAAATGACCCATTAAACCCCCATCACGTGCCTCCCTCACAAATAATTCTCTCTAAGAGCTCATGGGAACACAAAGTCTCTTGCCTTTGAACAAGAAACCATCAAACTTGGAATAGGGAGTACAAGAACTATCCCTCATCCCCCTTTCCCTCTCCCATTTCTCACAATCTTTAAAGATTTGAGCAAATTCGGGATCCTTGGGATACATTTCCTTCAAGCATTCAAAGCCAATCAATTTGGAAGACAAAGTATTTATCAACACATGTTTTCTAGACAAGGCATCGGCCACCACATTCTCCTTTCCCTTTTCGTATTGGATTACATAAGGGAAAGTTTCAAGGAATTCAATCCATTTGGCATGCCTCTTGTTCAACTTTCCTTGGGCCCGATATGCTTTAGGGGCTCCTGGTCAGTCCTAATGACAAATTCCTTGGACCACAAGTAGTGTTGCCAATTACCCGAATCCCCAATCAAGGCATACAATTCAAGATAATAAGTGAAATAATTCAAAGTAGCACCTTTTAGCTTTTCACTAAAATACACAATGGGCTTTTGGTCTTGCATTAAGACGGCTCCAATGCCTACTTGTAACAGCCCGTATTATGCATATGCTTATTCTATTCTTATGATACTTGGCATAGCCTTATAGTATAGGTGAGGGACCATGTTTCTTATATGATTAGCGTTGGTTTAAACTAGCTAGGAGGGTGATGTGATGCCTTGCACGATGCAACATGTGTACTGCAAGTTATAACTCCAACGGAAGTATTTAAACTCGAGATGGGAAGGTGGTAATTGAGCTTAAAGTTGAAAGTTAAGTCCTAAGTTAAAGCAAAAGGGATTAATATTTAGAAAATGGAATAAAATAAGTGAGCTGCTTGCTTGACTTAACTAAGCTAGTAGGTGACAAGTAGGTGCATCACCTA